GGTATTTAATGTTCGGCTCCGCCCGAACTTAGACTTTCTTACTTGTTATTATTATCTGTGATCGTGGTATTACGGATTGAGGGGTGAGACTGAAAAAAATCGTTCATTTGATTTCTAAGGAACACCCTAATGTACATACATACATAACTATTTTAAAAAAATCTTGTAGAAAAATTTAAAGAAATAAAAGTTAATCTTAGGAACTTCTGAAAGTAAACGGTTGCATTGGTAATGAAAAATCTGGAAAAATCCACAACTGATAATGGAGGATCCCAGTGGATATGGTTATCCTTCTCGGGGCGCAGTTACAGTTGCATTGTTATTATTAATCCCGACACTTGCGTCCCGTCGATAACTCTAGGCAATGCGAGCAATCTACATACGAGGTGCAGTAACAAACCTGCGTCGAGTCTTGGGTCAAGGTAAAAAAGACGACGGAGCTTTGGTGGGATCACTCTTACGTATTCAGTATAAGGGTTCGCCGAAATTAACACCGTCTTTTTCCCTGTATTAGCAGCTGCAAGCAAGCGTTTGCCTTTAAGCAAACAGCTTACTATGTAAACGTTCATCCCTAAAAGCCCTTCGAGTAATAGATTCCACGCTGAGCAGACGGTGGAACTATGAGCTGTATGAGCTTTACGACGATGTGGACATATCTATGTAATGCGGCTCCGCTGAGCCGGCAAGTACATACATCCCAATGGACAAAAACGCTTCAGTTCTGAAAATAGACAATGCAAATCGCGGTGCTGGTAACAGTGGAAGAGCAAGGGAAAGACCAGTTGAAGAAGGACTTGGCTTCACTTGGCATTTCCAGATCACGTCACTTGCCACATAAATGAATGTACTGACTCTTGAACTCCACTATCACACCGCTATCCAGGAAGCGTGATTGATGAACAACGGCTGTCTTAAGTGTAGCGTGCCTGTGACTGGTGACGCCTCATGACAGACAACGCCGAAATGGGTAATGCGCTGGGCTTGGAACCTAACACGTAAAAAAGTTACTCCAATGAAAATACCACAAAATCTTCGGATATTTACCCCTCCCGGATAACTACTTACTTTTTTGGGATGCCCGCCTGGAATTTCCGGACCATCTATAGGGAAGGCGACTAAGATACCAGGCTGACATAACCGCAGTTCAGGAAAACCAATACGAAGCATCTGAGATCTTTTGCAGATGCCATGAGACGGTGTGGGATTTGTGATTAAAAGGAGACTGCGAGAACTCCTATCCAGTCTCACTCCCATTAGGGAATGAATTTCATGATCCGCATTAATGTCAAATAAATTCAACAACACTATCCTAATTTTTGGGCATGCCCCGTTGCAGGAAAAGGGCGATGAGATCAAAGAGGAGTTCTACGAACGCGTAGAGGAAGCATAGGGGCGCAGTCCTCACAAGGATGTTCAAATTGTGCATACACATTTTAAAGATAGTGTGGGCAAAGAAATTCCTACACTGAAAATAAAATTTCGTAAAAGTGCTACGAAAAACTTTCGTAGTCTTGGTTTTTGTACAATGTACGAAACTTTCGTTCATAATAAGAACACATTATTCACAACGAAAAAAGATTTTACGAACCATTCGTAAATATAACGAAAGGACTTTCGTAAAGCCTTTTTTCAGTACAGTTTACGAAATCTTACGTTTATTTTACGAAACACATTCGTAAATTACTGAACAAATCTTTGTACGAATAATTTTGTATATTGTACGAAGGCATTCGTAATATTTACGTATGGTATTAAAATTTACGAAATCTTCAATTCTGTATTCGTACAATTTACTTAATACTTTCGTACATAGAACAAATGTAGAAACTTTTTTTTTTAATTCGTACAACAGACGAATATTTTCGTACAATATACTAAATTTCCGTCAGTTTAATATCTCATCATATTTTTATGTACCGCGTGTCATTGCGAAACTACTGGTTGGCTACTGTGAGACGTATAATATAATTTTAAAAGTTTTAAGAAGCTTTTGCTGGATAAAATACAATATAAAATTAAATATTAAAGCTGTGGATAAATGCTTTTAAGCATACAATGTTTTTAACATCGCCCACGCTGAGCCTTGCGCTGCAATGTGGGACTTCATAAATAGGCAATTTCATCAGTTAGCTATCAACGGCAAGCCCAAGCCAGGATAAGATGCACTACTTAATGAAATTTTAAGTAAGTACGTGTATGATTTTTCACTGAAACTTGCCTTCCAGATGCCTTATAATTTTCCTTTAATTTATAGTCGAGAAAGGAAGCAAACATCGAAGAAGCTGCGAATCTGCCAAGTACCTCCACACAAAAACATTGCAAAACATTTTGTTAAAGAAAAACACATAAAATTAGGAATAAAACCAAAATAAAAGTGTTGTGTTATAATTCGTCTTATGTTTATTACAGTGTGGTGAATGAAAGCAATCGGAAGTTCTACTTAACAACCGCAGATTTTAGGAAAATAATTTTGTTAAATATACGAACTATTTTGTGCATTTTACAAAAATTTCGTAAAAAATAAAGAAACAGTACGAAATTCTTTAGTAAGTAGTACGAAATTCGTTCGTAAATAATACGAATACGTTCGTAAAATGTACTAAGATCTGATGTCTCATATTTTCCTAGTATGTACGAAAACGGTTTTGTTCAATCAACGAAAACTTTCGTGGCTCAAAATGACGAAAACTTTCGTAAAATGTACGCAAGTTTTCGTTATATTTACGCAGATTTTATTTTCAGTGTACTGTCGGAAATTTCAGCCTTCATGCCAGCAACGGATAAAAGCTGATCGACGTCGCCGCGGCACCGAACATAGTTTTCAGTAGTAGCCAGGCCCCAGCATCGAAAAATCAATAATGCCATTTGGAATGGACCTGCTCAAAAAAAAAATAAAAAAAACAAATTGGTTCACCACCGTATGCACCCCTGTGCAATAAAAACGGATGCAAGGCAGCGTGACTAAGGTTCGACATAGAGGATCAGCCGTCACAATGTACTGTCGAGATACTTTGTAATCGAGCCTCAATTAAACAGGCAACTCCTCGTCGCCGGAATAAAATGAAATTTTCTAGCGTCTTGAAACTTTCACTTTGTTCTATTAAAATTCAATGGACTATAAAATTGCATACCTAAAACTTGTTGAAAATTTCTGAATAAAAAGTTTAAAATTGTTTGCGGAAATGGCTAAAATTTGTTAAATTTTTAAAATTTTTGTACAAAGTTTGAAATGTGGTTTTTTATGATATACGACGCCTAACGCTTTTTTAAAAAAAAATTATAAACATTAAATAAAGAAAACAAGTAAGAAAGTCTAAGTTCGGGCGGAGCCGAACATTAAATAC